TTGACCACATAAGGGTCATTAAGAAAAGCTCAAGGTCTTCTAAAGAACAGAAATACTCAACATACTTTAATTATAAGGCAACACGTTAAAAATTTAAATCTGAGGGGCTGGGAAGGTGGCTCAGTGGTAGAGTGCTTGCCTTGCATGCCAGAGGCCCTGTGTTCGACTCCTCAGCAACACATAAGCAAAAAGCAAAAAGCCGGAAGTGGTGCTGTGGCTCAAGTGGTAGAGTGCTAGCCTTGAGCTGAAGAGCTGAGGCACAGCGCCCAGGCCCAGAGTTCAGGCCCCACAACTGGAACCCCCCCCCCCAAAAAAAAAAATTTAAATCTGAAAATTCAGTTTTCATGGAGATTTAAAAATGTTTTATTAAACAATTCTTTGCGTTAAAGGGAATTTTCTTTTTCTAAAAATTGAAGAATTCCTTGGTGTATAATCTGTGATACAACTAATGTAGTTATAATAGGTGAATTAATTACCTGAAATATGTGTCACAATAAAAGTGGAAACACAAATATAAAGGAATTCCACGTCCAAATTAGAAAATAAAATAACAAAGTGCTATAATAGGAATCTAGTGCATATCAGGTTCATAATCCTGTTGGTTTAATTTTCCTTCCTCCCATGGGAAGAAAACATAAAGCCAATGTGGACTTTCTCTAAAGTCAAAGCTTAACATTTAGAAACTAGAGACTCTCTTGAGCTTCTGTGGCAGGGTTCAAAGAACCAGGCAAGCAAATATGGCGTTAGAGTTAGACAGAAAGGCCTGATTCTATGTTAGCAAATTGGAGAAAACTGAGGATATCGGTTTTATGTGAAATGTATTATTTTTTAAATGTTGGTAACTAATTTGATGTTATTGTTTGCTTTTATTGTTGTTTTGGAGGTTTTCTTTGCTTGTTTTTGGTGTGTGTGTGCAGGTCCTAGGGCTTGTACTCAGCTGGCACTCTACCACTTGAGCCACAGCTCTACTTCTGGATTTTTGGTGGTTTATTGATGATATGGGCCTAAGCTGGCTTCAAAGTACAGTCCTCAGATCTTAGCCTCCTAAGTAGCTAGGATTACAGATGTGAGTCACTGGCACCTGGACCTAGCGTGGCTCTATCAGCCTCTACCTTAGTATCTTCAGTCTATTGCCCCAGCTGAAAGGTCAAGAATCATGCCCTCAGCTGTTACCCACTATGCTAAAGGCTCAGTGGTGGAGCACTAGCCTTGAGCAAAAATGCTCAGGGACTGTACCAAGCCCTGAGTTCAATCCTTGGGACTGGCACAAAAAATAATTTAAAAAGGTATTTCTAGTGTAGTGTTTTTCAATATATGATCCATAGGAAAGCATTATTAGAAATAGAAATTTACTAGAAGTGTAAATTAGTAGGCTCCATCCTGGGGCTACTGAATTTGAAAATCTGTGTTTGGGGTCCAGCAATCTGTGTTGTATCAAATTTTTGAAGGGATTCTGAGATATACTACAATTTGTAAACCAATGCATAGCTTGGTCTGCTTTTTGTGTGTGTGTGTGTGTGTGGCAGTCCTGGGGCTTGAACTCAGGGCTTAGGTGCTGTCCTAGAATTTTTTTTTTTTTCTCAAGGCTAACGCTCAACCACTTGAATCACAGCTCCACTTCCAGCTTCCTTTGGAAGTTAAATGGAGATTAGGATCTTACAGACTTTTTTGCCCAAGTTTTCTTTGAACAGCAATCCTCAGATCTCAGCTTCCTGAGACTTAGAATTATAGGCATGAGTCACCAGTGCCCAGCTAGTCTGCCCTCTTATCCTTATTTCCAGTGATACATAGACTTCAGACCCTCACGGTCAGATTATGTACGTATACATAATATATATATACACACACATAAGTGTATATACACATATACATGTACATATATAAAAATTACATATATACATATATGTATACATGTATATATAATTTTTTAAAATAAATAATTCTAAGTAGTATTCTAAATATACTTTCTTAGGTTCTATATCTGTCTATTTGGTATCCAAACTAATGGCCTGTAACAATTTTTACACCTGTCTTGCTATCTACCTTTTGTGGGCATGTGAAAATCTTCAATCAGTCCAAAGCTACTCAACTACCCCCTTTATCTAACTTTCACAAACCAAGTCAATATTTCCCCTATTCTAAATCACCCAGGGCCAGATATCAGATAACTGGAGAACATTTCTATAGCCTCAAGACCTCTGATCTTATTTAAACTAGCCAATTCTATGGTATCTACCCTGTCATGTTTTCTTTTCTCACAGAAATCCCAATAAATCTCTGGTTTGTACTTCATCCTAAGTAACTGTGATGCTTTTTTCTGTGGCTCTGCATTGCTTAGAATGTGTCCAGTTGAAAGAAAATGTAAGTAATAAAAATCAATCACTGCTGATCAGTGGTTAATGCCTATAATTGTAGCTCTTTGGGAAGTTCAAAGCCTATCTGCAATTAACCAGTAAAAGGCCATAAGTGAAGGTGTGATTTAAGTGGTAGATCCTCCAGCTGTGAGGGAAAAAGGCACTCAAAAATATGAGGCCCTGAGTTCAAGCCTTAGTACTGGCACAAAACCAAAAACAACCAAACAGAAAAAATGCATCAATACTTTTGACCTCTTCATGTCATCAAGGTTATCCCATGAATTAAAACCCAAGGGTACACATTGAAGCCCTGACTAATGGTTATAGAATCAATGTGACATAATGACAACCAAGGAAAGGAGAACATCAGGAAAAGAACAAAATGTGAATAGGGATAATCAATTGAAGGAAGCACTCCTACCTTTGTAAAAGTGGAAGAGAAGGGTGACCTCGTACTTCACAACTGCCAAAGAAAACAGAACACATAATCACCTCAAGTATTCAGGAGTCACAAGACAGTAAATTAGAAGTTTAGAAAAACAAAACTCTTCCTGGTTTTGGGACTTAAGAGATACATCTTTCCAGATCCTCCTATATTGAGAATGTAGCATCTTACCTAACTCCCAAGGACAAACCGAGAGGACCATTCTTTTCCCATTTCTCAAAGTAGCTGATGGTATAAACCCCAAAGCACATTTTAGCAACTGCATCTGTTGAGTGGTGTGTGTGAGGGACATGTTGAAGAGTTGTCTGCTTTTCTAATTATCTCAATCCAAAGAGAAATTGTAGAGTGCATACATACGTACATATATATATATATATATATATATAGAGAGAGAGAGAGAGAGAGAGAGAGAGAGAGAGAGAGACATATAGACTTTCTCAATGTCAAACATATACATTCATCAAGAAATTATATATATTAATGTTCAATCTTTGATTAAAAAGATAGGACTATTCTGTTGTTTACAACTAAATATAAAGATATAGACTAAAGCCGGACACTGGTGGCTCATGCCTATAATCCTAGCTACTTAGGAGGTTGAGATCTGAGGATCACGGTTCAAAGCCAGCCCAGGCAGGAAAGTCTGTGAAACTCTTATCTCCAATAAACCACTCAGAAACTGGAAGTGGTGCTGTGGCTCAAATGGTAGAGCGCTTGCCTTGAGCTGAAGAACTGAGGGACAGCGCCCAAGCCCAGAGTTCAAGACCCATGACCGACAAAAAAAATAAAAATAAAAATATATATAGATTAATATAATAGAGAGCTGGAAAGTGGGTGAATTTAGTCTTAATATTCATTGTACATATATGAAAATGAAATCAAGTAACTTGAGGGGGATGGGTAAAGTTGGAAAAAATGGGGGAGAACATGGAAGAGGTGACATTAATCAAGATACATTGTTACTTATCAACTGACATATTGAATTGAAACGCCTTTGTACAACTACTTAGAGATAATAAAAACATTTTAAACCCTAAAATACTTGAGTAAATATAAAGATATATTATTATAGGAGATATGGTTTTATAAATCAAACATTGCTCTCCAGTCTTTCTCCACTGAGTGTTACTGGTATGGAGACACAGAAGTGGGTATTTTTCAAAAGCTTCTCTTTTCATGTTACCTATTGTAGTTGAGCTGTTGGGACCAGCAAAAATTTCAGTGTAACTAGTTTAGTGCAAGGGCAGATCTGCATCAGATGCAGGCCAGATCTGATCTGTAGCTTTTACAGGGTAAAGAATCTCAGGGTTGGTCCAACCATCTAGAAAGGAAGGAAGGAGGGAAGGGATGGGCTATGGATAGCAGTACTCCTCAAAGGAACGAGGACTTGGTCCCGGGCAAAAGAAATTCAGACCTATGAAATCTTAGCATTGAGGGTCTGGGATGTAGCAAGAAGGGCCGAAAGGAGGGTGATGATTAAGTGGGAGAGCTTCCCTGTATTCTTGGCCAGATTCAGTGTTCTGGTGTGATGATAGGTAGGGTAGGTGTGGTCCTGAGTGTGGAAGGGCATGGGGAAGAGACATGGACTTGGAAACAGAAAAGGCTGGGTGAAGCTGGGCGCCGGTGGCTCACACCTGTAATCCTAGCTACTCAGGAGGCTGAGATCTGAGGATTGCAGTTCAAAGCCAGCCCGGGCAGGAAAGTCCCTGAGACTCTTATCTCCAATAAACCACTAGAAAACCGGAAGTGGCGCTGTGGTTCAAGTGGTAGAGCACCAGCCTTAGCTGAAGAGCTGAGGGACAGAGCCCAGGCCCAGAGTTCAAGCCCCACTTCATGCTAGTCTCAGTGTTCAGACCACTCCTAACTTTCCAGTCTGATTGGTGAGGTCCACAGTCAAGCCGCACATGTTAGTCCATAGGGCCATCAGGACTGGCATCAGTGGTTGGGCTCAGCAAAGACCTGAGTCAGAGGGCAGAGAGACCAAGGTGAGTTGGAGCAGGTGGGCCACGGAGCAGGGGCGGAGCCTCAGGAAGGCAGGGCGGGGCCACAGGAGAGCTGCGGCTGGGAGTAGGGCGGCGAGGGCGGGGTCCCGCGCCGTGAAGTTTGCGCCTGCGCACAGCGCTCCGGGGAGGGGTGGGGGCTGAGCTGCGCGCGCGCGCGCGCGTTGCGCAGGGACCCCGGAGGGCGGAGTCCGGGCGGGCGCCTTCCGAGGGAGGGGGCGCGGTGCTGAGGAGTCCGGCGCTCCCTCAGGCCGCGGACGCGATGCTGCTGGCTGCTTCGGCTCGGGCGGCGGAGCTGACCGGGACGTGACGGGCGCGGGCGGGGAGGGAGGCCTGTGGCTTCACTTTCTGTCCTTTGCGTCCGAAGGTCGCTTCGCTGGGCGAACCAACGCCGAGGCCGCGGTCGAGGAGGCAGCGCGACCTCCGCAGGGTGAGCGAGAGCTGGGTGCGGGCCGGCGCCTGGGTGGTGGCGGGCGCCCGCGGCAGCCCGGGACTGGGTGGGTGCGGGGGGTGGTCCGGAGCCGGGCCGAGGCCTGGGGTGGGGTGGGGGCGGCCGCGGGGGAGGGGGCCGGCGCGGACCGCCGCGGGACCCCCCGCGGGCACCCGTAGATCCGTCTGACAGGGGCGGGCGTGGGGCGGGGAGGCCGGGCGCCCGTGCTGGGGACGGGGCGCCGGGCTGGGGGCGCCGGGGCGCCGCCTCCTTCCCTTCCTCCGTGGAAATCGGGGCGAGGCTGAGATGCACAGTGATTTCCCGGTCAGGATGCTCTGGAGGGCGGATGGGGTGGGGGTGGGGGGAAAGTAGTACCGGGGTGCCCTGAATGGTTTTTATTATGTTTTAAAAACAAAGACACGCCCTAACACACGTCTAGGGGGTACAACTTGGGCGCCTCTCCTCCTCGGGTTCGCGCACGCTTCTCTGGTGGGATAAGGGGGCTGTTTTGGGGGACATTTCTTTCTTTCTTTCTTTTTTTTTTTAAATGCACCTACTTTCTTAATGGAGTGGGAAGGAGGCATGCCTCCTCGGAGGCGCTCACAGGTCGGTGGCTGAGCCCGAGTTTGAGATGTCAATAACTGCACATTCATCTCTAGTGGGCCACGGAGCCAATTAGGGTTGCCATTTCAATGCTAGGCCTGAAGCAGGGTGAGGATGACTGCGTGCACCCAACACCTCTTCCTGGGGTCCCAGCTTGGAATGTTTCCCGTCTTAGGAGGAGAGAGGAGACCATAAGCTTTTCAAACTGGACCCTTAAAAAAAAAAGGCCTTGTGTTTTTCTTTTCTTTTGAACATTCAGATGTGAATGGCACATGTTCATTTGGCCGTAGACATGCGGTGAGATACATTTGATCATCTACATACATTTATACGCACACAGAGGTACACGGGTGTATGCGTGCATACGGGTGCATCATCGTTTAGGCTTTTAAAGAGACTAGATGCTGCCCTGCAAAAGATAGAAAATGTTTTTACAATCTGTATACCAAGCATGACATGTAAATATTGACTTGATGTTTTGCTTGAAGTAGTCTTCTTTTTGGACATATTGTTTGCCTCCCTCAACTGACTAAAGCTCTTGGCTGTTTTCCTATTTTTTTTTGTTTTTCCTCCCTATTTTGGAACTGGTGCTGGGGCTTGAACTTTCAGTGCCTGGGCACCGTCTCTTAGCTTTTTCTCTCAAGGCTAAGGCTCAAGCACTTTAATCACAGCTACACAGCTTTTTGCTGCTTAATTGGAGGTAACAGTCTCATGGACTTTTCTTCACTGGCCAGCCTCCAACTGTTATCCTCAGATCTCAGCCTCTTGAGTAGCTAGGATTACAGGTGAACCATCACCTGGTTTGGTGGTTTTCTTTAGTGTTTTCAGCAACATTGATTTTTGATAAACTTTAGGTTAAAGTGCATACCTTTTTCAACCCTTTTGCCATAATTTATACCATCTTACTTCAGTGTTAGGTTAATATGTCATAGTAAGTAATTGCTAAAGTCATTCTGAGAGCAAGAACTTTTCATTAAAATTATTTTTTTCTACCTTTCCACAATTACTGTTTTTGCTTGTTATGTTACTTTTACTGTATGAAAGAAGAGGGCTTTGATTTCATGTCAGTGACTCTTCATATGAAGTCTCTAAAAATCCAATTTTATACTGTTTCTGGTTCTTGTCTCTGTTCTAGCTTTATCTTCTACTTTAGGCCTGTTCTCTTCATATAAAATGATTTGTCATTTGAAAAAGGTGACATCTTCCTCTGCGGTTTTACTTGGTTTCCTCTGCTGAGAATTCTTTTCCTCCCAGTAACTAACTAACTTGTCCTTCACAACTTTACTGAAATGCCACCCCTGAGTCTTTCTTATCCAGTCACTGATCCAGTAGTTGACATTTTGCAAACTGGTAGTTAATTATTTGCTTCTGTGCCAGGCTTTTGTGTTTCTTCTGGAGTTTGCCATTCTGGCACATGATATTACATGTTAGAAGTGCTCAAAAGCTATGAATACATTTTTGAGGAATAGTTCCATGCTTACATATAGCTTTAAGATAGGAAAAATAGGTTAGATTACTTAAGTATCACAAAACTTAAGAAAGATACTGTAGAAGGATTTTGGTTTTGTTTCTTTGTGTTGATTCTGGGTTCTATTCTTGGGTTTTTTTGCTCAGGGTTAGCATTCTACCACTTGAGCCACAGTTCCACTTCTGGCTTTTTTGTTGCTTAATTGGAGCTGAGAGTCTCACATACTTTCCTGTCCAGGCTGGCCTTAGACCAAGATTCTCAGCTCTCGGCCTCCTGAGTAGCTGGGATTACAGACATGAGTCACCAGTGCCTGGCTGTAGAAAGTATTTTTGAATATCCAAGAATGAAGTAAAAATAGTTGCTGGTTATTTATGAAATTCTAGTTAGAACAAAAACAAAATCTCCAGACCAATCCATTTTATGATGCAGGAGTAAGAAGGATACAGCCAGTAAAGACTGCTGTTTCATTGGTTCTGGAACTTTATTTTGAAGTGCAATAATTTGGCCAAGGTCATGTGGGTATAAAGGAACTGGAATGTGATCCAAGTCTTTTGACCATCTTTGTGTTTCACTTTTGCTCTCAGTCTCCTACTTCTAAATCTTAATCATTGTTTTACCATCTGAGTGGAGACTGTGAGAGAATTGTGTGTATATTGGGAAAGGGCTATGTTATGGTAATAGTTATTGAACTGGAAAGAATGAATAGGTTCTTTAGTTGAGTTTTAAAAAAATTGCCATTGAGCAGGTCTGAGGTTACATGAGATGCTTTCTATCTCATATCTCCTGACCTCATGGTGGTACCCCTCCCCCCCCCCCCCCCCCCCCCACACACACACTGTTTCATGGTACAGTGGAAGAAAATGAGAAATTCACTGTGTTTTTTCACATGGAAAATAAATGTGCTTGTCGTTTCTTTCTCTTTGAATCCTTAGCTGCCATTCCTGGGGATATGGAACCTGTGAGTGGTTAAGAAATATGATAATTCCTTGGGGAATCCAGGAGAAACCGAATCATCACCATCCTACTCAGCCATGTAGTTTTAACTCCAGTGTTGGAGGCCCAGATGCCCCATAACAACTGGCTTCTGGTTGCCATATGGAGATCCTGCAGACAGTTATGTTTTGATGGTAAAATGAGAATTTAGTATGGTAAGGTTACAGCTGGCTAGTAACATGGCTAAAATTACATGAGAATAGCTGCTCTGATTACTCCTATGTGATAGGTTTTTAGGGGAATAAATTGATGATTGTGGTTTTATGCCTCTGAAAAGCCAATTTGAAATATGCATTTAGTGGAGTAGGTCTTATCAATTTCAACAGGCTTTTTATTTGCAGATGATATAATAGTCAAGAAGTCAAGTCAAAATAAGCTTAATTTTTCTATTTCTTGTTACATCTGCATGATTTTATAATGAAACTTAAGCAAGGTGCATCTTATTTGCTTTTGTATGTATCTTTACTTTTTAACAGCTCACTGTTACCATGAATTGAGTCACTTTGTTAATATTTGGACATTTTAGGTTGCTTATCATTTTGTAAGTCTTGCATTTATTATGTATACTTGCCTTTCTTGACCTCTCTAAACCTTAGCTTACTAAAATATCCCCACTGAGTCTTGTCCAGACATATCATCCCTTTTGTCTTCACTGATTCAGTAGTAAACTGTACATTCTTCAGCTAGTGTTCTGCCATATGGTCATCATTTCTTTCTTTCTTTTTTTTTTTTTTTTAGACTAAAGGCTCAGGGGAGGGATTACAAGGTCATAGGGTCTGAACGGTTTTGTCAACTTCAAAAGATACTGCCAGGTATACTTTTTTGAGAGGTATTTTTGTACTCCTTCCAATGAAGTTTAGCTAGGATCTGTCATACTTTTTATAGCCTTTTGGTTTTTAAGAGTTTTGTTTTTTGAAGTAATAAACGAATCAATAATAGAAAAAAACTGCAACATTTTTCTAGCTTTCTTTTCTGCTCTATTTGGATTGTTTATCCTTTGCCTATAAATCTGTTGAAATCTTTTCACCAATTCTCATGAACATTAATATAAACATAAATATTAATTTTTTGAAAAGCATTTCAGGTCTGTGTCATTTTTGTTATTTTAATATAGAAGGTTTTGTAATTTTTTTTTTATATTGGAATCATTGACTTAAAAATTGTGATTTTTAACCATGCGTTGGTGGCTCATGCATGTAATCCTAGCTACTCAGGAGGCTGAGATCTGGGGATCACAGTTTGAAACCGGCCTGGGCAGATAAGTCCACAGGAGACTTTTATCTCTAATAAAGCTGAAAGTGGCACTGTGCCTCAAGTGGTAGAGTGCTAGCCTTGAGCACAAAGAGACCTGTGCCCAGGCCCTGAATTCAAGCCCCAGGACCAGCAAAAAATTTTTAAAAATGTGATTTTTGAGGCCAGAGGCTGGTGGCTCTTATTTGTTATTCAAGCTAGTCAGGAGGCTACTCTTTTGTCTCCAAAGAAACTACTAAAAAGCCAGAAGTAGAGCCAGTGTGGTTCAAGTAGTAGAGCAATAGCTTTGTGCAAAAAAGATCAGGGACAGTTATTAAGGTGTTGTACAGAGGGCTACCATTTCATAACTCAGGACCTGAGTACAAGCCTCAAGACTCTCTCTCTCTCTCTCTCTCTCTGTGTCTCTGTCTCTCTCTCTCTCTGTCTCTCTCTCTGTCTCTCTCTCTCTGTCTCTCTCTCTTTCTCACACACACACACACACACACACACACACACACACAATTGTGATTTTTGGGTTTTGATTGGGAGGTGTGAGAACTCCTTCATTTGATGCATGTTTTTATTGAACTTTAGAGTTTGTTTTGTTTTATGTATGCATCTTCAGTAAATTATGTACAGTAAATTGAAATTTGATTATGTGGATAAACCAGTTTATTTTGAAAAATTTTTAAAAATGCTGTTATGG